CCCCCCCCCCCCCGCACCCCAAGGGTTAAATGCTTGTTGTTTGCCTAGGGTAGAATAGTACTCACTGGTTCCTCAGAGCCAGCCGACTCTTGGACCAGTCCCTAGAGCGTCTCTCCCCCTCTTCTGCAGCAGCCTAGGAATCCTAGAGTCATCAGTAGCGGAGGAGGAGAGAGGTTGAAAGGAGCACTGCCAGCTCCGAGAACCAAGTGAGCATAACTTTGTTTTGGGACCGTAGGCAAAAATGAGCAGTTAACCCTTGCAGTGCAGAGGTAGCCCACCTGCAAGGGTTAATAAAATCTCTACCTGGAGTTCTTCTTTAACATCCCCACACTGGGACTGAAGCTTGTTTTAAAGGCTTCAACAACGCTGCTTGAAGTGTTTTTGCATACTTTTTATAAACTGAAGCCGCATGTACAAAACCTAAATTTCTTAATGGAATTACATTTCCTATCAAATACTATTTTTTTTAAATGGCACATAATAAACTATTCAGCCAGCACATTTATTACCCAATTTGTCTGGAGTTACATAAAAAAAAAAAATAGCACAAACCTTAAAAAGAAAATACTTACCCTGTTTAGTACTTAAAAACCCGGGATCCCTGTGAAAGTTCAATCTGCTTCTCAATAGGGTACTTAAGTGGTGCAGACAGGACACAGCCTGGAATGCCAAATGCCGTTGCTCATCTTTTTCAGATGCAAGAACCAGTAAAGACAGAAGGCTCTAAATGCATAATAAAATTTGACACAGAGCTAAAGACAACTATTTGACATGCACATTCACAGACATTTAACAGAATAATTTAATGCACGCGGCCTGACACAAACCAATGCTTAGTTAAATAAGCGAAACAGATGTCAAGCTGAGAAAATAAATATGGAACAAACAAAAATAAGATTGTGAAAAATTAGAAGACAAATCCGAGGTCTCATGTTTGGAAAGCAAAGTGGTTAGCATGCATGCCTTGCAGCTCTGCAGGATTTGAATTCCAAGACGACACTATCTACATGGAGTTTGTATGCTTTGTACTTGCACCAGGTTCCTCTGCAACTTCTCATTTCCCCCATAGCCCAAAGAACTGCATATAGGTTACCTGGCTTCTTACTAAATTGTACCTAGTCAGCATATGAATTAAGTTTATGAATACTACTTAATAAATTAAGGACTACACACAAGATGAAAAGCAGAGAACTAAACACAGCTCCCCATGCACCTGTGTGGAGTATGCCATCAATAACCATGGTGTAGTGGAGAGGGTGGATGCAGACACCCAGGTTTAATGGTGCCGATACTGCAGAGCTGGTAATCTATATTGTGCACTACTTTCTTTGACTGCACCGAACCGGAACATAGGCACTAATGTGCCACGCGTTCCCGTGCGGCCGATCACATGGCTGCGTTGCCATTGAGTTCAATGGACGACCATGCCCCCTCTCGCCCCAAAAACAAAGTGAGCCAGCAGGAACGCAATCCAGTGCATTCCGACCACAATTGATCCGGAACACACTGAAGATGGCGTGAACAAGCCCAAAGAGTAGCAAAATGTTGGCAGAAATGTATTTCTTAAAGGGGGGGGGGGGGGGGGGGGGGGGATTTATCGAAACTGGAGCAGCCAATCAGCATCTTTTTTCATTTTCAAATCTTAACTGACCAAACTGAAGATAGAAGCTGATTAGTTGCAATGCACAGCTGAATGAATACAGCTAGTTTAGGGTTTGTTCGCCTTTTCACAAACCTGATCAGATTATCATTTACCAGATCTATCGATGCCATTTCTATTCTCCCCATAAATATAAAGATCCTGGTGCCCAAACCTGTTCCAAAGTATCAGCGATGTGAATTTGCTTGTGAGAGTTTGATTTTTTGAATATTAGGCTCTGTGGCGGAGATCAGTGGGCTGTTGGAAGCTGGTAACTGTATAGTAAAGGAAGGAAGCTGTGAGGTTTTATGTAGAATGTAAATCAGTGCTCCATTTGGAGTGAGGTTTTCTGTTTTCATAAATGTGATGTTTGTTGATTAATTATGTCTGTCACTTTGTCTACACACATATGTTCAACAGCTTATAAAGCATTCTCTTTCCTCACTTGACGTAGTTCCATTACCTCCCACTTAAAGTGTCACTGAGCTCAGGAGCTAAATGTTTAAAATACATTCAAGTACCTTAACTATAAACAAAAATGTATCTTATTTGTGTATTACTCAGCTGTAGAACCTCAAATCATCTCTGAATTTGTGCTGACACTGTCATTCCTCTTGGAGGGTGGTTACTTTTGTTCCCCATGGTCCCTGTGTGTGTTGTAAAGTAGTCACCGCTCCAAGCTCACTCCCATGATAGACTACAATTTTAATACAAATTGATATAAGATTGTATTCCATCACAGGAGTGAGCTTGGAGCGGTGGCTACTTTACAACACACACAGGGACCATGGGGAACAAAAGTAGCCACCCTCCAGAAGGAAGGACAGTGTCAGCACCAATTCAGAGATGATTTGAGGATCTACAGCTGAGTATTATTATTATCCAGGATTTATATAGCGCCAACAGTTTGCACAGCGCTTTACAATATAGGGAAGACATTACAATCACAATACAAATCAAGACAAGATGATAAAGGAGGGCCCTGCCCTTGAGGGCTTGCAATCTAAAAGTGTATCATAATTCTTACAATGGCGAGCGGTTATTGGTCAATGCAGCCGCATGAAAATGCTTATCTATGATAATCTCTTTTGAGCCTTTTTTCTTCCTGGGACAGTGGTCCCGAAAAAAAGAAGAGATTCTGATTGGTCAGCACAGTCAAATGGCTGCTCTGACCAAGGACCAATTGCCATTGTAAGCATTATGACTTTGCACAGCCTCGGCGGCTGTATAGTGAACTTTTGAAGTGTGCAGTCTCTTACCGCTGGCGTGGGCAGCGGGAGTATGTCACTTGAACAGCTAAGTGCAGTGGGGACTGGAGGGGAGGGTATTGTGAGTTAGTTAATCTTTTCATCTTTTGTCAAGTAACCCTTTTATTATCAGAAAGAATGGAATTACATTGGGAAAGTAGAGACGGCTTTATATGCTGTTGAACATATGTGTGTAGACAAAGTGACAGACATAATTAATCAAGAAGCATAATCTTTTGCAAAAACAGAAAACCTCACACTAAACAGAGCACTGATTTACTTTGCTAGAATAAACCTCACAGATTCCTTCCTTCACTCTGCTATACATTTACCAGCTTTCTCATCTTCCATGATCTCCCCCACAGAGCCCAATATTCAAAAAATAGGACCCCCTCAAATTCACATGACTGATACTTTGGAACAGATTTAGGTACCAGGATCTTTAAATTTTATGGGAGAATAGAAATAGCAACTATAGTTCTGGCAAACGATAATGCAATCTTTAACAGATAACCATGGTGTATAGTTTATAGCTCAAAGTGGTATCAAAATTTTAAAATGGAAGGGAGGCTTTTCAACAAAGCTAACCCCAGGGACAGCAGAGTGCTGGATGCCAACCCTTTACAGACACAATGCATTAGACGTTATAATACATAGCAAAAAATACAAATGAACTGTAAGAACTTGATGACAGATTCTCTTAGAGCAGGCATGTAAAGCTATTGTCTTTTGAGCCACATAAAGCCTTCTCTCTCAAAGAGAGCCTTAGCTGCTGTGCAGGATAGTGAAACAATCTGTAAAAATGCAATCTAGGAGCAGAGATGGGAGACCAAGGCTATATAAAACCAAAGCACCAAGATTATCAAAGGAACAGGAGACACTTTTTAAATAGTTCCCCTCATTAAAAACCACAGAATCTACAGATGGCCTATCAAAGCCACAAGTATATAACAATGACCTCTGTTGCCTTCCAGGTTGGAAAAGTTATTTTCAAAAAGGGAAGGAGCTGTAACTCTTGAAGCATGGAACCCACCTAGGGGAGGGTAGCTAAAAAGTAAAAGGCTGGCCTTGTAGGTACGGGGGCTAGCATAGGTTCTACCTGGCAAAAGGAAAACTATCCTCAAATCAGCACATAGTAAAAACCAGGCTGAAAAATTACAATTGCTGCGGTAGAATATCAACCAAGGGATAGAGTGGAAAGTGCTAAAATTGTGCAGGGGGTCAGGGCACTTTCAAGACTGCAGGGAGATACCATGGCACTTGCTAGCTTTTAGCCAGTTAAAAAATGAAAAGTGAATGAGGCCTCAGCATATTCAATAGCACAAAAAGTCTGCCTTTCCTTACAAAATGTCACAGTTGGATACTTTAGTAATATATTCTGATCCCCTGCTTAGGGATATAATACTGTAAGTTGCTATTATTATGTTAATTACCAAAGAGCTGTGATCTTTTTGGAGTAAGGTCCGATCCTCAACAAACCTAATGCAACCTATTAAGGATTTTTTTTTCTACTCAGTTCTGCTGTCAGTTGCATTTGAGTTTAAAATTCCTTATAGTAAGCCTCCAATAAATTGAGCACAATAAACAACTATTCTCAATAAATTATGTCAGCTGTATAAAATAAAGATATCATACATCAAAGTCATAAGTTCTTCAGACAAACAGCATATCAAAATATACAAAACTCACAAGTGAAGACTTTTTTTATTCTATGTAGAAAATCATAGCATGGTTTAAAAATGTCATAAGCAGAAATGTCCAGTCACTGTCTGACTAACCTTTACAATCTTCGGTCGTTGAAGAAAGATTTCAGCAGGAAAATCTTCCATTACAACATCCTGTAGAAGTTGACAACTTCTCCAGATTAAGCCGTGGTTTTTGCTTCTCAGGGAGCTAGGAAAGGTTTTAAGAATCAGTTGTGAAATATGAAGTGCAGCAGATATTGCTGCAATGCACAGATATCTGCAATGCACAGAATATGGCTAAATATACATAACAATATTTATATCTATCAGAAAATTGGGTTGTGTCTTATCCCACAAGACAACCCACAAGATCAAAGTCACCAACATACAGAAGACTTACTTTTAAGGTACCCAGATCACAACAATTCATAGTATATCCAAGTACAACATTTTTATATAATAACATATCAAGAAACAATAAAACCATTGATGTACTATTTGCAGTTTGTGTTTACTCCATTTCTATAACGTGCCACGTATCCATCTATCTATCCCCATCCATCACCTATGTATAACTGGATATTATAATGATCTTTTATAAAGTATATTAACATATATCTTAGAAGATGTTGATCAAACTAGATGACCGAATGAAGATGTCTCAGCAGGTTTCGCGGATGTGTATTTCATGTCTTCAGGAGTTTGCTGAGGCACTACTGAAAATATATATACACAGAACATCTACCAATATACTTTATATCAGTACATATACAAAATTTTAACAATACTTTAAATCTTACTTGTACATGTGACTGGAGTCTTGCAGGTTTAACCAAAATATAACTGTTAAGATATTATAAAGTTTGTCTTTTTTCTTTTTTGATGGTACATTTTATAAATACAAAAAAAAAAGCAGATAGCAATGAAGGGCAAGTGACCCCAAACTGTATATATGAGTCAGGTGAAAACTAAGTACATAATGACTAAAAAAAAAAAAAAAAAAATATTCACTTCAATTATGCAATCATGCGAAAAGCAAATTTCCATTCACTTTGACTACCCTATCATGTGTATATGTTTTTCACTTGTTTGCATAACTGAAGTCAATATGCACACATTTTTTGAGTAAAGATTTTCAACTGCTTTTGTAAATCAGCCTAAAGGAATCAATGAGCTCGGTCTTCTAAGTCAAAATGTAGCTAAACCCAAAAGCAAAGATGTAATATATTGCAGCTTACCAATCCTGAAATGTGGTGGCTGCATTCATTTTCCTTTTGTAGGCTTTTTTAACCTTTATTTTCACCTGGTGATCTGGCCAATAAGTCTGTAACTTTTCAACTTCTTTAACAGTCAAGTCCATCTAAATCTACTAGGACATCTAACACTACCCTCTCCACTGGATGACAATGCTGCTGTCCAACTTGTCTCCACTGCTCCTCCAAAGGAGCGGAGTCCCCCTACGACAGGAAGTGTGTTGTTATTGACTGGATCACCAGGTGATAATAAAGGGGGGGGGAAAAAAATGTAAGTTGCAATATATTAAATTTTTGTATTTGGGTTTAGATACGCTACAACCTTTTGGGTACGTGAGACACCAATCATTAACTGCAGATTTCACTTTTATTGAATGTAGTAATAGTCTCCAAACACTTTTGGTAGGACACTAAAAAATAAATCAAAACCTGGTTTATAGCTTAAAGATAAACTCACAAAAACAATTCCCCTCTAGATGGAATGCTTAGCTAAATTACATGAAAGACTAGCTCTCTAAGGCACTTGTAGCCTATTGCCTTTTCCTACTCATTCTCCTTGTATGTATGTCACCCAATCTTCCCTTTCTTTTTCTTGCTTGTCTGTTATAGTTTTCTTACTTAAAAGGAGAACTATGGGGTCAGTGTTTTTCCCCATAGTTCTCCTTAGGGTAACGGGAGGACACAAACTAGCATCCTCCCGTTACCCTAAGCTCAGTATACCGCGAGCTACAGCTCGCGGTATACTGAGACGCCGCACCTGGAGCGGATCCCGACGTAGATGACGGGATCCGCCCAGCTGCGTGAGTGACAGCTGGCTCTGCCTACCTAGAGGCAGAGCCAGCTGTACCCGCCCCCTCCTCTGTCCGTTCCGCCAGTCAGCGCTGGCAGATCGGAGTGGGGAGAGGGGAATCCAGCCCCTCCCCCTGTCAAGGCAGAGAGCCGTGACAGGATCGAGAGGTGAGGGAACCTGGTATGTGTTCCCTCACCTCCTGATCCGACCCGTGACAGTATCATTGTCACAGGTCGGCTTAGAACTATGAGGTGAGTGGAAATCACTCATCTCATAGTTCTCCTTTAACAGTTCAAATGTTAACTTTATAAAGATGTAATGTGTCTCATTGGTTTACAGCTTACACTTTGCTATGCAGTACTGTTACAGTCAACAATGATTGCCCATTGGTGATACTTTATAATCATGGTTTACTTTGCTTAAACAAAAAAAAATTTGAATTGATGTTTTCTTTTTTTGTAATACTATATTACTATCTGCCTGACATATCGACCTAATATTTGCAAGAATGTCTGTATACCTTGCTTGTTATACTTAAATCTATTGTGGGAAAAAAATAAAACCTGGAATTTGCAAACTTCTTTCCATTTTGGCCTAAGCCTTAAATATAAATGAATATTAAATATACTTCAGCTGTTACGTAACTACATACTGTAGTAAGAAATATAAACACAGTAAGCACTGCCTGATGACAGAGACAGAAAAAGAATGTTGAGAAGGATGGCCTATTATTTACAAGCGTTTCCTGATGCCTTTGCATTTCTTTGTCTCGGAACTCCATGCAAACGCTAAACTACACTAATACTAACTACACCAATACTGAAACTTGTTAAAGATGTCACCAGCACACCATATTCAAGTGATATGACAAGCCTGATGAAGGTGACCCTGCATGGCCCCGAACCGTTATTTGTTTTGACATGAAGTATGAATAAACTGACGTGTTCTTCACTTCAATATGGTGTGCTGGTGACATCTTTAACAAACTACAAAGAGCCCTGACACTAACCCTATTGAACACTTTTGGGATGAATTTAAGGGTCGATTGAGATTCAAGCCTTTTGAAACAACACCCATATCTGAATGCTCTTAACTGAATGGGCACAAATTCCCACAGCACGCTTCAAAATCCTGTAGAAAGCTTTTCTAGAAGAATGGAGGTTTTTATAGCTATAAAGTGTGTGTCACAAAGCCACTACTGACCCCTATGCAGAATTGCCTTCTATGCTAAAATGCATATAGAAAAACTACAATGCCACTGCCATAATCTCTTTTGGACAGATGAGACAAAACTGGAGCTTTTTGGCAAGTCACAAAAGCTCTATTTTCACAGAGGGAAAAAAAAGGTCTTAACCACTTCAAGACCAGGTGTTTAGACCCCCTTCCTGGCCAGGCCAAGAATATTGTATCTACTGTAAACCATGGAGGAGGCTCGGCCATGTTTCGAGACTAGTTTGCTGCACCTAGAACAGAGTGCCTTTAATTTGTGCAAAGCACAATAAAACCTCAAGACTATTAAGGAATTCTAGAGCGAAACATACTGCCCAGTGTCAGATAGCTCTGTCTCAGTCACAGGTCTTCAGTCCACCAATGGGATAGCGGCCCAAAACATACAGCTATTGGACTTTTATGAAGAGGCCTTCTATTAGCTCTGATTTAAATCCTACCAAACATCTATGGAAAGAGCTGAAACATGCAAACCTGAGAAAGCTGGAGCAGTTTGCACCAGAAGAGTGGGTCAAACTACTTGTTGACAGATACAGAAATCTCATGGAAAATTAAGGAAATTGGTTGTTTTCCACAAAATATTCGTTTTTTGGAAAAAAATTATAAACTCACACATCTTCATAAAATAAAACATATGTATGTATTATCTGTTTGCTTTAGAGCCAGTAAAGCATTGCAACTGTGATCAGTGAATTGTGGGTGCAATTATCTGGCTCCACAGATTCTTCCTCCCTTCCCTGTCTGTACCAAGGTATGGTTCATTCAGTAACAGGGATGGGAGCAAGCGTGAATGAACTACAAGTGCGATGACATCACTACATTTGTATTCCTTTAAAAACCACAGGCCCCTCACAGTCTTAATATGGGTGTAACATGAAACATGGTCCAAAGGGTACACTTAGATTTTAAGGATCCCATTATATTTGACCACGCCATATGTGTTTTATTTTTTTTTAAATACTCCATTAAATCAAAAAGCACAGTCTTATTTTTCACAACAATGATTGATGCCAATTAATTTTGTTGGTTTCAGTGTAATTTATTGAAAATTGCAGGTTCTTCTATTTGTGTTGAAGGGTACCAAGAAATTTGTCCATGGCTGTATAGCCATCAGTTAAGATCTTCTCGTAAGCAAAGAAAGACAGATTTAAAGCTGCAGAAAACTAGAAATCTCAAATATATGGAAAATGGATTACTGCTTTGTACATACCAGTATACCAAGCAACCACATTGCCTTGAAGTGCATGCCAGCTTTTTTTACAAACCTTACATGCACTGTGCCCTTTGCATCTTCAGCATATGCCATAGCACTCAATATCGGTTTATTTTTACAGTGAGAAAGCTTTTTGTATTTCACAAAAAGTGCTTAGTGTAGCAGAAAATATAAATATAACACATATAATTGGGCTTTGCTTTTTCTACATTTGACACCAAGCAAAAAAAGAGAACCTCTGTCAAGTGTGAAAAAAATCAACTTACTATGTATTTATTCAGTAGACACAGACAGAAAAGCATAATAATTTTACAGAAAAGGAAAAAAAAAAAAAGTTGCATTTTTGGCATTCTAAAAGATCAACAGCAGATACCCTGGGTTTACTGATGAAATGTACTGACTTTTTTTTTTATTATTATTTGATGCTTTATACTTCTCCACAAAACAATTCATGAATACTTGTCTTTGAAATATAAAAATACATTCAGCAATGCAAATGAATGATAAAGTGGCTGAGCAATTAAAAAGCACTTACAGTTGTGCTTGTGCTAGCTAAAATAATGTAGCAGATGGGCATATGGTATTTTTTTTTTTTGTGTGCGGCAAATATTTTCCAATAATTAAAATAGTTATGATAATGAAGCACCTATTAAAATCCCCGGCATACAAGGGATTCCAGCCTGTTGGAGACAACATTGTGAAATGTCCACAACCATATCCATTCAAAGAGACACCTGCACGTTTTACTGGTCAAGGCTAAGAGCTGACTTTTACAATTCCACAGCCGAGACAATTCAAAGCTGCAAAGGCTTCAATCATCCCACAAGATTGTTTGCCATCAGTAGCTTGAAGAGAACAGAAATTAGACTGCACTTCAAACCTCAATTGACTTAGCTTTTTTACATGATGCAGACTCAAATGTCACCGCATAGCAAGGCTAAACAAAAACTGCAACTGGGAATAAAGCTTATGAGCAGTACTAAATCCTCAGCGGATTCTAACAAAGCTTCTGTATTCCTACTATTTATTCCTTGTATCACTTGCCTGATAACGACATATCTTTTGGCCATTTGTGATGCTCTGGGGAGTTGACAAATATATGTATGTTGTACCACATCCATTTGTGAAATCTCGAGCTGGCCTCGTGTCTGCAGTTTATCTGCAACAGCAATAAATATGCTATAGCCCAGCACCTTATCTAGGTAATAATAAACAGAGGTAGTAAAAGTAATAATATAAATTCTGTGTACCACTTCAAAAGGGTTCCTTGCAGAGTGGAAAACAAATTTTCTAGCTTAAAAAAAAAACCAAGATATTCTGATTTAATTACACATGTCAACACAAGAGAAAAAAAATGTTGTAAGCTTAATTCACACTGATGCAAAATTCTATTCAATTTGACATCTCACTTAAAATCCCATATTGTGTGATTTATTTATAATTGTATATTTCCTCCCTATAGGACTGTATTATTAATACTGTATATTTCATCTTCACCCTACTGACAAATTTAATTTAGCAAGACAAATGCGTGAAAATATATATTAAATACATGTATCTAGTTCATGTCATCTATTCTTGCATTGGCTCTGGAAATATTTGTTGCCCCAAGGAAGTAATCACACGTATGTCCATTAGGGTACTATAGACACAGTGAGCATGCTGTGTCTAAGGGAAAGCTTTTCAATGGGCTATCGCACTTACACTGCATGTTCCACAATGCAGATAGCCAATAAAATAGCAGGTTATGAACTCAATGTATTTGCCATGTCTTAAATGAAGAACTATACAGTACAATAGGCAAAGCTTAAACATTTCCAAACCCACACCTGAAACTTAAGCAGGGTAAACAAACATGTGGTCCTCCAGCTGTGATGAAACTACAAATCCCACCATGCTTCTGTCTTGGGAAGGCATGCCTGTTGATGTTAGAGTTTTGCAATGCCTCTAAGACTTGTAGTTTCTCAATAGCTGGAGGGCCAGAGTTTGGCTACCCCTGGAATAGAGGGTGCTCTGATTTACAGACCCGGATCTAACCACTAATGAAGATGTTTTGTTGCACGTGGCATGAACAGGTTAACAAAACGTTTAAGATTAAGTATGTCTTCACTTTAAATATAATATACTGGTAGCATCACCCAAGACACACCCAAAGGCACCTGCAGGGAGTTTCACAAATCTTCAGTTTGTCCTAGATGCCTACAGATCTGGGCTGGTCTATTATACAAATACTAAGTGCAGTTCCTGACACAGGACATCTAACCCACTCCATCCCCTGCACTAATAGGTCAGTAAGACCACCCATCAGTGAAATGAAACAGTGGTGGGCCATGCGTAGAAGCATTCCAGGGCACTGATTTCAGAAGTGAAGTTGGCATTTAAATAACAGACCGTCCCAGATTTCAGGGCTCCCAAAGCGGTTTGCAATGAAGGTAATAATATTTGCAGACTAGGTTCCTGCATTACAGGTATGCTGCCATTTTACCTGCTTTGAAATTAATACATTTGATTTACTTTAGCATATGAAGAACTTGTGACCAATTGACTGAAGGTATACAGGGGATTAAGTGCTACACAGTAAGAGTATTTACGATAAAAAAGAAAAAATGTAAATAATTTAATTTGAAGGATGGGCATAAAAATGCAAAGAAGCATAAAAAAACCTGCAACAGTTGCCCAAAGCCAACCTGTCAGGTTTCATGTGCTCATCACTACAAATCTGGGGTGTGTAAAAGATACTCTAAATGCAATGTGTAAAGAATACTTGAAGTTCTAGAATGTACATATTCTGGAATGTCCAGAGGCTGGCATGGTGGTCATTTTCAGCAACATTTCAGCGCAGTGTTTTACAAAGGGATCAGGTGCTTTGGCTCCCAATCCTGATGCATAAAATGTCCAACACGTTCAGTGAAGAGAAGGTAAGTATGGATAATGGGGCACTATTTGTGTTAGGGGTTAAGATTAGGTTAAATCTAGGGTTAGGGTCAAGGTTTAAAAGGGTTAGTCCACCTTTCTCATAAAACAGCCCACACAGTCCCAGTAGATGTAAATGCACAGTGTTATGAAGACATCTCTTGATTAATTTAAGTTGCATACATGTAGGCCATGTTTAACACCCTGAAGTCTATTGAAAGAACTCCTAATGGCAACCTCTTGTAATGAAAAAAGGACAGGAAGGTGAGGGGCTGCCATTAGGAGTTTCTTGACAGGCTTCAGGGCAGGCCAACATGGTCTACAGGAATGCAACTTAAATTAAGCAAGATATTTCTTCACAAAACAATGCATTTACATGTACTGGGACCACTTGACTGCATGGGCTATTTTTTTAAAAAGATGAACTAACCCTGTAAGACTAAAAGGTTACCGTTAGGATTGAGGGAATTTAGTGTTAGGCTAGTGTATGTCCAGACAAAACACTCGACCATGCTGACCAACGAATGCTCGCAATTTGCGAGCGGTTTCAAAATGCATTGCGAAGGCGGCGCTGGACAGCAGTACAGGGAACAGATAGTACACCCGTACTGGCGGAGGGAAAGGACTGTTCGCCAAAAGGCAAGTAGGGGCGGGGGGTGGGGTTGAAAGTTGAAATGGGCCAGATTTGAGAGGGTAATTCCATTTTCCCAAAATTACCTGGGAAAGTGAACTTACCCTTAATGCACACTATGCGTGTTCTAGACCGCTGCTGCCTGGTTACCACAATGTGGCACACAGTGGAATGGCGGCAGCACTCAATGCACACACACAATGTCCTACACACATATTTGCATGCAGATGGTGGGGGTGGCAGGGTTGGTTTTAATTGTTATATATTTTATTATTTTTTTAATTTTTATTTATTTATAAAAAATGTTTCACTTAATTTTTCAAAAACTTTTTTCCCTCCCCCCAGTGTTAGTGTAAGCACTTACCTTAAATGATGTCTCTTAATCCGATCTTCTTTCAGCCTTCTCTCCAGTGCTGCTGCGGGTCTCCAATCCAGCGATGGCTCCTCTGTCCTTGCTGGCACTTCCTGTCCCACGGTGTCTGCATGCGTCCATAAACTTACCTTGTGTCTCTCCTCGTCTCACGGGCGAAAATCTGAACTGCGCATGCGCCCGCCCCAAGATGCTTTGCGGCCGCCCGAGCATTTACGTATGGGAGCGCGCGGCGAAGACAGGGGTAAGTTTTTTTTTTAAAAACTTTTTGCATATATCTACTGCTTGCTAGCAGTAGATATATGCCAAAAAACTTGAGGGTTTAGAAACCCTTTAAAACGTCTTCACAGGTCACAGATCCCCAAACAAATTTGCATAATAACCCGTATTTGTTCTATCAGGTCTAGATACCAAGAATCTGTCTACAAACTGCTGTCTTGGTGGTACAAGACTGAACAAAAATTCCACCAACCCTACCCTAAAGCCCCTGATAAATGTTGGCGGAAACGCAACAAAATAGGCTCTATCCTATAGATACACATATATATAAATATGGCGTAGGTGTATATTTATGCAATACAGTATATATTCTATTATATAGAATTGAGACTTACCATTCATTTGAGGAGAGCACATGCCTATCCGTTGTAGTTATTGTCAGCCATGGAAACATGGAAAACTTCAAGCATGTGGCTTTACTGCGATATACTGTTTGGTGACATAAAAAGGTATAAAACACATTATATTATGGCAGAAGGCAAACAATTAAATACATGTTTTTATTGATTAAAGCAAGACTTTTGTGTAATCTACTGCTACATTGAATCAGCAATTGATGGTATAATTAGATCTGCACCCTCTCGTTATAAAATTCTGTGCTGCCCATGTCTCAAATAAAGGAAAACAGGTACCACATGCACAACATCAATTGCTTGATGGAAAACAGGGTGAAGTAACATGTTATAGATAGAGGTGCACCGAATGAAATCTTCAAAACCAAAATTATTTTTATTTTTTTACTGTACTGTTGGGGGCTTTGGGGAAAGATTAGAGGTCTAAACAGATCCCTGATATTTCCCTTTTAAAATAGACACAGTCCTTGATCTCTTTTTCTGCATCCCCTGTTATAAATGAACAGGAATCCTCTATACTGAGTGTTTCTGTTCATTCATAACTTGTGGAGATAGTATGTTTACCATGTCCACAATCATGACTGAACATTCATTCATAATTGGGGGACACAGTAAACATACTCTGTCCTCAATTATTTACAGACACTCAACGATTGCCGATTGCTTGTACCCACTCTCCATCCTGACTCGCTGTCACAGGAGGCTGAGTGAGCGGTGCAGGGAGGAGAGCTAGATCTCCGCTGACAGCTGACTTCTTCCCCGCACACTGCCAGCCCGACCTCCTGTGACAGCTGACAACTGTCTCCTCCCCTACCACCCCGCTCAGCCTCCTGTGACAGCACTGACAGCTGTCTCCGCCCCCACACGGCTCTCCTAATCTGTCCTCTTGTAGCACACTGGCTCTTACATAGCTTATTAGCTAATGAACTCAATCAACTACAGGTATAGCTTCACTGAAATATAGGCAGCCTTCCACTATGATGAATACTTGTGGTTTAGGTATGAGGTAATAAGTTAGGAAAAGCCCATGAGCCAACGGTAGTGTCCTTCTCCTCTTTCTCCTTTACTGCGCCCAGTCCTGTGAATGCTGCTGAGGTGTCTGTGCTGAGGAGAGAGGTTCAGGATGGAGAGAGGTGTAGTCCATTAAACATTTGCTCGACTCTCTGAAACACGAGAACGCCGAGCAAGTGAACCCAGCAGCGTTTTACTGAGAAGTGACGTGCCGAAGGGGAGGAGCCAGCCGCGGCCGTCCGCCCCTGGGTCCCGAATACACTGGCCGCTGAGGGAGAAGCTGGAGACGCCCCCTTCTGCTGGAGGGACACAGAACAGGTCTGTGACACCCTGAAAGCTGGGTGTCTACAGTGACTGTCTATTTGCATACATATGGACCTACAGGATATTTTCTGTTAATCTGAAATCAGTTATTCAGGGTAACAATCATTTCATGTCTTTGTTCAAGCTTTAGCATTAAGTTATAATGATGGAACACCGTTTTGGTGATGTTGCTATGGTTGGGTCCACTAAAGAGTAAAACATAAGATTCATTAAAGCACTGCTAATACTGTACAAATGTATATAATCCCTAGCATCCAGATAGAGCAAGCCTTTTACTTGTGCCTTTAGCTGGGGATCCAACATTTACTCACATACCCTGTAATGTACATCCTTCCTCCCAAGTACCAATGTGTAGAGTGGGCTGATTCAGAGAGAGGGCTATATATAAAATGGTATGCATGCTGGGATTCATTTATATGGTGTTAGATACAGAGTCATTCCAAAGATGAACAGCGACTTTAATGATAAAATCAGAAGGGTAGCCTGGTGCACAAAATTAATGGCTTGATGAACAGTAAAGCAGCTGAACAGCTAGACCGTGTTCTATGAGTCAGTTTAATATTCTCCAGTCAAACGCAGTTTGATATCAATCACTGTCAACATGAATTATAGAATAGAATAAGAAAAGTGGGGGCATTTCCTGGGATAGCTCAGAGCTGGTACAGCATGGTGCAATATAACTATAGGTAATTAGTAAGTAAACATGGTATCACACAGACCCTTTCCCCTTAGAGTACCAAATTATGAACAAAAGGACAGCATAGTTTGTTTAAAAAAAACAATTCTGGAACCTAAAACATCAAGAGCCCTTGTGAACTAGCTGTTAGGAGCCCAGTACATGCTCCTATGTCTGTTGCACCCCACAAGCATCTCCTGGTGGTTGCCTGCTGCCACTGCACCTTTCCCAGATGCCTTTGCCAGTTATGCCTGGACACATGCCCTCCAACTCTGGGATTGGCTAGTGGCTTCATTTAAGAATCACAAGCCCAGGGCTACCTTGCATCTTGCTACCTGTTCCCATTTCAGTATTTTGTCCCCGGAATACTCTGTCCTCCACTAGTCCGGACCTCGGCCTGTCTTTGGATTACCCTTTGTTTGCTGCCTCTCCTGACCTCAGCCTGTCCATGGAATACTCTTTGCCTGTAGCTAGTCCGAACCTCAGACTGTCCCGGGAAACTACTTTTGTCTGCTACCTGCTCTGTTACTGCTACATAAACAGTTCCTTCTGCAGGCTGTACTGGACCCTGACCAATACGCCCGTCTCAGATGAAGCCAGATGAGCCAGCACCTCATGTGCTCCATCGCCAGTCAGTACCTCCACCCTTCGGGTACACCTGCAAAATTCAACAGTAAGAGTACACAGTTCAAGACTTGGGGGCATCAGAGTACCAGTGACGCATATAAAGCATCCTCCAAAGGCGACTGCTATAGGTGGAATCACTCGCAAACTATTTTCCCTGACTAGACCGTCTGCATTTGGTCCTGATACTAGCAAAATATGTTATCCGTTTTTTGTCCCTTTCCATAGCAACTTTTGCTACTCCTTTGTTTTTGTTTTTTGTTTTTTAAGGGCAATCCCATACCTCCAGACTCTTCTAGCTTAATTTCTGTAGGTTGAAGCCTTAAAGCGTCTTGTTGAAAATATCCAGCAGATCCATCATCATGATGCTGTATAGCTAAAAGAAAAAACAAACAAAGTTGTAGCTACAAGAGTACATTGTGTCCCCATTTCTGTGAGGCACAACTGCTAGAGCAATCCTTGAAAAAAAAAAAAAAAATCACAATTTACAGACTATATACATGGCAGCACAAATAGCTTAAAAGGAGAACTATGAGGGGAGTGCTTTTCACTCACCTCATAGTTCTAGCCGACCTGTGACAATGAGACTGTCACAGGTCGGCTCAGTAGATCGGGGAGGTGAGCGAACACATACCGGCGTTCGCTCACCTCTCGATCCTGTCACGGCTCTCTGCCGTGACAGGGGAGGGGCTGGATTCCCCCCTCCCAGCTCCGATCCGCCAGCGCTGACTGGCGGAACGGACAGGGGAGGGTGCGGGTACAGCTGGCTCTGTCTCTAGATAGGATAGAGCCAGCTGTCAGTCACGCAGCTGGGCGGATCCCGGCACAATTGTCGGGATCCACTTCAGCTGCGGCACCTCAGTATACAGCGAGGGTGCAATCCCCGCTCCGATCCTCTAGCGCTGGCTGGCGGAACGGACGGGGGAGGGCGCGGGTACAGCTGGCTCTGCCTCTGCTGTAGCTCGCGGTATACTGAGCTTAGGGTGACGGGAGGACGGTAGTTTGTGTCCTCCCGTTACCCTAAGGAGAACTATGGGGAAAAGCCCTAACCCCATAGTTCTCCTTTAAATGCTACACTGCAACGCCTAATTATCATTTCAAATCCAATAAAAAAAAGTATTCCATCTCTTTTTAAAAAGAAAAAGGAAACTGCCAAGTTTTTATTGCTGCCGGTGGGACGGTTTCCTATCCTGCCCCAGAGACACAATAGGAAAGGAAATATTGCCAAAGTGTGGTTAAATCCCACTTTGACAGCTGTCATTAGAACAGGTTTCCTATTTCCAAGTGACAACTGTAAAATTCTGACGTTGTATCATTTTCTGTCCCAATGACAACTGTCACCAGGACAGGAAGTGAGAATGAATCTCTCCAATGAGGGTACAGATGACAATAAAAAGCCGATAGAGGCTTTAAAGGAGAACTATGAGGTAAGTGATTTCCACTCATCCTCATAGTTAGAGCCGTCGTGTGAATAGAGGTAAAATGAACGTTCTTTGTATATGTTCAGGTTGAATGTAATGTAAACACTGCATTATTGCCATCAGATGGAGCCACGGAGCATACATGGGAAATACTTGTTTTCCTATGCTCTTCAGCTCCACCTAGTGACCATAATGTAGTATTACATTCTGCATTACAGTATTACATTTTGCAAACGTTCACAGAGATTTGCAGGGCAAATAGCTCTGCAGATTGTTTATAAATGGACCCCTTTAAAGACTTAAACTTATTTGTGCAAATTTACAAGACAACCACCTAAAGGCACTGAATGCTACAGATCTGTATGTAAAATCAGGTAATGTTATTTTTCTTGCACGGTAAATGTTAGAAAATAAACGATCAGTAATAGTTTAGAAAAGTCTGCGAGTGTTTAAAAATCCTTGAAATAGGTAATGCCTAATAACTACCTGGATAGTCCTGTGCTTGCCAGGATTTGTTGTCAGGTGAAGGCACAAAGGTACTTTCTGTTGGAAGAAGGAAGAGACCATCCAAAATGCTATCCACGAACACCTGAAGGTTCGGTTCAATGTTTGGTCGAAGCTGAGAAAAGAAATCTACAGCACCCATATCAAGCAACCACTGAGCACCGAGAGAATGCTGAAAGAAAAAAAAAAAGAGTGGATATAAGAAATTTAGGACTACATTCTGTTTAGAAGACTTTACATGTAGCAAAGTATATTTTGTTGTTAACTGACAGTGATGAGCAGAGGGAGACAAATGTCTAAGGACAAAGCAGTGTTGTGATGTGATCACGGTCATATGATAAGTGATCTATCCTGTTATCCTTTGCCAATACCAGATGCCTCTATAATGTTCGCTTATATCAGTGTGTGATCTAGGCATATATCTTTAACCCTGTCGAGTTGTAAAGGTACCTTTAGGGCTCATTCACACCAGCCCCATTGGACTGTGTAGCCTAACATATAAACAAGATAGATGAAAGTAGTCACTCGCACTCCATGATATTAAAGTCAATGCTGTTTATTGACTGAGATAACACACATCTCCTTAGCGACGTTTCGAGACCATGCGGTCCCGTCCTCAGGCAAACAGAGAGTCTCTGTTTGCCTGAGGACGGGACCGCATGGTCTCGAAATGTCGCTAAGCAAATGTGTGTTATCTCAGTCAATAAACAGCATTGACTTTAATATCATGGAGTGCGAGTGACTACTTTCATCTATCTACATTTCACAGAGGCATCCGTTGTCACCACCGCACCCACCCAGTTAGATTTGGGTTTTTGTCCGGCGCAAAGATGCGCCGAAATCGGCACAAATCAGAAGAGCCGTCTGTGGCATGGCGGGGGCGGTAATGAAGCAGGAGTGTCTATACGAGATGCTCCATCCTCAGCCTTGTGTATGTTCAACCTTAGCGCCATTGATTGCTAGGGTGCTGGCAGCCACCTGCAACCTGGCAACCTATTATGCTGTTTGGCCAACAGGAGTGCGATGGGACAGGAGGATTAAGTAACATATAAACAAGACAATTTTCCTTAGATCCTATTTTTCTGTATTGTTTGATTGTGATATTGTATTGTAGGATGTTGTCTATTGTAGGATCACTTCATATCCTAAAAGTAGGACAGGTTGCATTTTTAAGCAGTGTTTCAATGCAGTACACCACATTGCAATACTGTAGGGAATGGAGTTGAATGAAATGTAATTTTGTGAAATTTCAATAAAGTTTTTTTTGTTAAGAAAAAAAAAAGTTAAATTTAATAAATGGTGCAATGCATTGTTACAACTAGGACTGCAATTAATGATTATTTTCATAGTCGATTAGTTGGCCGATTTGTTTTTAATTTATTTATTAATGGGATAAAAAAAAAAAAATACCATCCCTAATTTAAAATAAAATACAAAAATGGAGTGTTACAAAGTTTAGTTTGGAATAAAACTGCAGGCACAATTATTTGCAAATGTACTGAAACGCACGGAATTGCGTTACCGTGCGTGCGATCACACAGTGGGCAGGAGGCGCGTATGGGGTGCCATTGCAATGAACCTCCGGCAGCAGAATTTGTCAGGCCAAAACCGAAAATAATTTTTTCTCACCTTTGATAATATTTATTAAAATTATTGTATTATAAGCACATGGCGCTTGAATAGCTTTAGCCAGGAAACGACAGCTGCCAGTGGCAAGATTCCGCAGACAGAAGCTGAATGTAAATACAGCAGGTAGTGGGCTGGTGCAATAGCCATCCTGCTATTGGCCATTTCAAATTGCAATAGCCAATAGCAGGCTGGCTATTGCACCCACCCACTGCTTGCCGTGCCCTACTCCCAGGGTGACGGAGAGAGAGCCGTTGACAACTATTTTCATTATGAATTAATCATTCCATCCCCATGCTTCTCATTGGACAGTGAAATACAAAAAAGAATGGTAACCGCATACATTTATAACCAGCCTTGGTAGCAGCGTGAACATGGGAAGGCTTACAACAATATTCTAAACTGGTTGGTTATAAATTTATGCGGTTACCATTTTTTTCAAGTATGACTATTTTTGATGTGGGGACGCACTGTGGGCCCGAGCGTGCATTTTGGATTGCTGGGCCTCCAGTGCGTCCCTGCACCTTTTGAGGAGGAGTAGGCTACCTCCAGGTACACCGCCATTTAAATTTATCGTTTGCATTAATATGCTCCAACATTGAGACTCATAAATAGAGTTAGGACCACACTTCACAGAGGAGCCTTGACGGGGCAGTGTGGCTTCCACATATTTTTGGCCAAAGGTTTGTGCAACTAAAACCTCTGATTTTAACGCATACTGTTAGACAGGTAAACTTGTTTTGTTGCAGGCTGGCTGGCAGGTGTGCTGGGGACTCTTTTTGTGTTTTGTAGAGTGAAATACAGCATCTTCACCGCAGTCCAATGAATAGGAAGCTAACCTATGAAGAAGTGATGCTAAACCAGGAATCCTCCTACTGACTAGCAGAGATGTGTGTAACACATGAGCACCTCGTCTTTCAACGGCATATTTAGCCATTTGCCTGGAGCTTTACTTTAATTACAATACACATAAAAATTCTAATAACAACTTGATCATCACAACTTAGAGGACAGATGGTGAGCATCTATTGCATTGTTTGTCGACGAACAGTATAAGGGAGATAATAAAATGGAAATGAATGGTGACAGGTCCACTAAAAGTGTTAATTAATCTGGAAAATTAATTTAATTATGTGCTTGTGTCATGTATTATATTTGATAGGATATGATTTGACTGATCCATATGAGTGAGGTTTTTCACAGAACTATTTTTATTCATGACGTCTTTTGTATATTTTATGCAGCGCTTTTATTCTTCACGCCTTGTAATAGTTTTGCTTGGCTAAACAGAAATACATTTTCAGGGGGTTTATCCTTTTCAAGTCGCATAATTAGAGCTGCAGCTAACGATTATTTTCAAAATCGATTAGTTAGCAATAATACTAATTTTTAAATGTTTTAATTAAAACATAAATTATAGGGATCTGCATCAAATGTAAAGCATTTCAAAAGACTGTCTACTTAGGCTTCCTTCCTACATTTATTGCTTATAACATTTTAACAGAAGTGTTCCAACCAGCCAAACACAACAGGCAACAAGTAATTTACGGCCTCCTGGGCATCAGTTACACAGACTTTTCTTCTGTCTTAGTGAGACCTTCAGTCTGTTCAGACACTGGAATTCATAAAGAGAAGCACAGACACTCTTCAGAAGAGTGCGACAAGCATTGGTTACTGCAACAGACTCTTGTACATGGCCTGTTGCTACGTTGCAAAGATGCGCCGGAATCGGCACAAATCAGAAGAGCCGTCTGTGGCATGGCGGGGGCGGTAATGAAGCAGGAGTGTCTATACGAGATGCTCCATCCTCAGCCTTGTGTATGTTCAACCTTAGAGTCATTGGTTGCTAGGGTGCTGGCAGCCACCTGCAACCTGGTAACCTATTATGCTGTTTGGCCAACAGCATCCTAGAAACCATTTGGGGGAAGGGAGCGATAACTGGAGGTAAACAAAAGACCAACGCGATAACTGGAGGTAAACAAAAGACCAACACGATATCTGTCTTATTTATCTCCAGTTTTCCTAACTACAACATGGTGCTATTTTTTAATGAATCTGTCCCAGACGTAGGAACACAATGTAAAAGTCTAACAAATAACTTATTGAATTTTTCACACGTCGGAACAAATAAGTGTTGCACAACAAACCTGCACCCAATTCATCCTTTGCTACATATGCTCCAAGATGGAGGTTTTCATAGGTTAGAGGGGACCACAGTACACAGAGGGGCCTTGACAAGGCAGTGTGGCTTTCACATATTTTACAAAGGTTGTGCAGCTAATACCTCTTTTCATGATCTAGGAAACCTCAGCACCAGGGTCGGTAGGCTCTGGGACTTAGGAAGCGGATTGAAGTAGCAAGCTGGAGTGAAGCCTGAGGTATAGGGCAGAGGACTCTGAAGCTGGGAGTCTGTACGATATCGAGGACGCACTGGAGGCGCAGTTTCAAAGAAGGGCCAGGTTTTCCACAGAGCCTCTAATGGTGAGGATGATTGGCTGCTGGACACCTTCCAGGTTGCAGCCCTCTAGTACACCCGCACAGACTGAGCAAGAGTCCAAACAACAGTGGGAAGGGAACACAAGGAGACAACAGAGAGACAGCACAACACGGCAATCTGGAGATAACAGAGGAGCGAGGTTGCAAGGCCAAACAGCCACATAGGAAAGACAAACTCACAGGTAAGCAGGATCTCACAAGGAGCACAAGGGAATAACAAAAGAAACAAAGCAGGTAAATAGCAATGAGCAGGGATCCAAGGCAAATAGTACACAGGGGGTCCGGTCAAGTGTAACGACTTGTTGCTCAAACATCAGGCAACAAGTGAGCTGAGCATTTAACACTGAGGTTCTGCGCGGATTGCCGAACACCTGGGACATGAGTCAAAACCCGGTACCGGATCATGGCACAGGGAAGTGTGACACCTCTGTTTTTAACCCTAAAAGACAGACAGTGCAATGTGTTTTTTTGTAGGTTAGCTGGTAAGTGTGCTGGGAAATTATTGTTTTTGTACTATGTAAAGCCCTTCCATATGCACCTTATTTTAAAGCTAGTTATGAATTGGGGAGTGCATTTGCCATTTGTTTAACTTCTTCCATTTTTGGGTCAAACACGCCTGTCCTTATTGAACTACTTAAAATGAGCTACCTGTTCTAGACTGCCAGGCACCATTTCCATGCCAAAACTGTCCCTACCAATGTCAGTGATCACATCTACACTGGCTTTCCCAGAGTTTTGTCACTATATATAATTCAACACATGCAACAGGATAAATGTTGTGTTGAACTGAATCGTACAGTAGCAGAATATATACCTTAATTAACTTTTGTAGAAGCAGAAGAACTTCCTCCTTCATTGACACGATAGGGAAATTAAACCATTCAAGAAGATGTACAAATAAAGACTTCTCCTGGACTAGGTCCACAACAGCGATAAGATTATGGTCCAGTTTACATAGTATGTTCTTCAGAGCTCTTTCTCTAATCTCTACAAGATGGTGACCTAAAAAAAGAAATATTAGCAATTGCCATATCATTACATCAATGGAACGGTTTTATAAAGTTAAATTAATTAAAGAGTAACTCCAGCAAGAATTGCCATTAGCAGCTCTGCCCCTGTCTACTCTCAGGAATGCAGGCTGTCATATAGTATGACACAGTGGATGAGGAGGGTACAAAACAGGTCACAAAATGTGAGGATGTCCTAAGTGGCATGCTTGATTATCTACAAACACAAAATGAAGAAACAATTTTAAATCAGTTGCATTTTTAGATTTCAGCACCTTATGTGGAGTTAGGGCCTTTTAAGTTTAAGCAGGGCATCGCAATATGTGTGTTACAGTAATGCGTATTTTACTGTGCATTTCTGTACCAATGCTTATCTAATATGTGTATCAATTGCTTCTGCTGACATCCACCCCTTGTCCTATAAATAAAACTGAGGAGGGAGAATATGTGTCAGGCTGGACACAACCCTCTTTAAAGTAATATGCAAGTTGTAATGTTTTTTTAAAGCGTTCTCAAATGCTGATTACCTCACTTACAATCGATACTACTCCTTGATGTTTTAAAGTATCAGCTGGTCCCCTCAGCACTGATCCCCATATCCTGTTTTAGGGTGGCTCCTATAGAACCAACCTTGGATGTGCTAGTAAGTGGTGTGTGTCTCCACAAACATACAGTAAAGGATGGGCACCGGCACTCCAAAGCAAGTTCAGTACATGTTTATTAACGTATCAGTTGCAAGTAGAACACTCTATACAACGTTTCGGGGGATGAAGGGGATCCTGTGAGACCCCAAAACGTTGTATAGAGTGTTCTACTTGCAACTGATACGTTAATAAACATGTACTGAACTTGCTTTGGAGTGCCGGTGTCCATCCTTTACTGATATTTTGTCGGAAGCCACCCGCTGACACCTGCTGCACCCACCCTCCATTTTTGGAGCAGCGGCTATGAGTGCGATGGGTACACGGACTGTATCCACAAACATAGAGACACAGCAAAGTAGTTCAGTCCCATGCTCCCCACTCCTCCAAGCTAGTAGATGGACAGCTGCTGAAGACTGCTCTGTCCCTTGTGATCTTGTACAGGAAAGGAAGTTCTGGGAAGCAGAGCTGAGAGAGTTGTTGCCAACAGTTTAGAAACATTATGATCAATTGTTTGGACAAAAATATTTTTAAAAAATACTTTGCCGGGGAATGTATATTTGATTGATCTGGATTCATTATTGAAACAAGTTTTAGTGTTTAATGCTACTTTAAAAGAGAACTATGAGGCGAGTGATTTCCACTCATCCTCATAGTTAGAGCCGGCGTGTGATATTGAAATTGTCACACGTCGGCTCTATTGATCGGGGAGTGAACCCATGCCGCCGATCAATCACTTCAGCACCAACCCCCCCCCCGGCTCCAATCTAGCGCTAGACAGGCAGAACCCGCTGTCAATCTCGACAGTATCGTCAGGATCTGTCCCGGCTGTGGCGTTCTCCGTATATAGCGAGCTATAGCCCGCTATATACTGTATGCACAATTATTAGGCAAGTTGTATTTTTGAGGATTCATTTCATTATTGAACAACTACAGTGCTCTCTGTCAATCCAAAATGCTCATAAACCTCAAAACCTGAATATTTAAGTAAGTAAAAAGTGAGGTTTTGGCTTAGGGGAATATCTATGTGTGCACAATTATTGGGCAACTGCTTAGTGAGCAGAATTATTATGCAACTAAATGTAAAACAAAAACTTTCCCATCTCACTTGTTTATTTTCATCTTTTAAAGTGAGAATAATGAAAAAACAGCCAGCCTGCTATTGGATATTTTAAATTGCAATAGCCAATAGCAGGCTGGTTATTGTACCCACCCATTGCCTCCTGTCAATCAGCAGAGATGACATGATGGAGAACTTTGTCTTCAGTTCCCTCCTTTGCTGATTGACAGCAGGCAGTGGGTGGGTGCAATAGCCAGCCTGCTATTGGCTATTGCAATTTCAAATATACAATAGCAGGCTGGCTATTGCTCCCAGCCACTGCCTGCTGTATTTACCTTCAGCTGCCTCAGCAGCTGAATCCAGTGAAGTGGAAAGGTGACACTAGAGGTCTAAAAGACCCCCAATGTCACCTAAAAGAGAACCTGTCACCTCCAATGCACGCAGCCCTGGTGATAAACTACCCTAAAATCATTAGTCTGTATTGTTTTAGAAAAAATGTCACATGTCCCTTTAAGAAAAAGTATCGGTAATTGGTATCGGCAAGTACACGAGGGACAGTACTTGTACTTTGTCTTGAAAAAGTGGTATCAGGACATCCCTAGTTCTCTCTTAAGTTATCTTATTTTTTTAAGTTTACATAACCTGAATTCACACTCAAGGGACAGGGTTCTATTTTAAAGACCAGCCTGTCCAAGTATAAGCAAAAACCAAAAACAAAAACACAAATGTTTAATTAAGAATAAGCCATATTGAATGTATTACCAAGTTTGTTCACCAGTGAAGAAAGTTCCATCGTAGTGTATCACTTCCCTGCTTCCTCTTCTGTTCTGACACCTTCTGTGAAGACAAACAGCATGATTAACAAATCTGGCCCGGAGTCTGTCATCTCACTGCTGCATCTCACTTCTTAATTAAAGCTGAACTCCGAGTAGACACAAATTTATGGAGTTCTGGATTCATGAATAAAGCATTAAATGTGTTTATTTAAATAGAGTTTGAAAAAGCACCAGAATTTGAATTACAGGACACAGCAGTGATGTAGGGGAAGGCAGTAGATCCCAAGGGCATGCAGAAGGGGACACACTATGCGATAAACCCGGAAGTGACAGTTAGCATAGTGCTCGGGACAGCAAAGATTGAATTTACCATTGGCTGTAGAGGTAAGTATTTAACTTCCAATTTAGGGCTTGTTCACGCCAAGACCAGAGCAGACCTGCACGTGTTTCTGCACAAGCAGGCATATGCGTTTGAACACTATTTTGATGTGTTTGATACGTTCCAGTACTTTTTTTTTTTTTACAGTATGCAGATGATCTTTCTGAGGTCACTTCCCTTTTCCTCTGACCTTGTGTTACATTGTAATTACTCCAACATGGATCCCTGGAATGGTCCTCATGCTGCTTAATCTACTGCTACAACAACGTGCTCTCAGGAGATGTTATTTTTGGGTGCACCCACTGATAAGTCTGGGAGAACCAAAAGGGTAAATTTTGGAGTTTGTATGCGGACCTTCGTTTTCTGTATCACAATGTTTGTCCACCATGGCTGCTATCCGAGGTCACTAGAACACTGGATCACTTCTTTCCACAGACAGGAAAAGTCCAGGGATGATTATCCCATCAGACGAGACCAGAGGCTTTTTATTTGTTTTTTTTTAACTTGCATTCTGGTGTGTTTACATGCGTTTTGGTGTCCTCCAAAGTGTTCCAGAGCAGAAAAAATAGTGCCTGCTGCAGTTTTTTGCAAAAGCACTGGAACTGAACGCACTGGTGTGAACTAGAGCCCAAAATACCATTGGAATACATTGGATGTGTTTTTGATGTGTTCTGAAAATGTTCTGGTCTCCATCTGCTCCAGATTCGGTGTGAACAAGCCCTTAAAGTGACACTAAACTCAGGAGTTACATCTTAAAAAATACATTCAAGTACCTTAACTATTAACAAAAATGTATCTTATTTGTGTATCACTCGGCTGTAGAGCTGAGTGATAGAGGCTGTGCAAAACCATAATGCTTACAATGGTGATTGGTCCTTGGTCAATGCAGCCGTGTCACTGTGCTGACCAATCAGAATCTCTTCTTTTTTGGGGGGACACTGTCTTAGGAAGAAAAAAGGCTCAAAAGAGATTATCATAGATAAGCATTGTCATGTGGCTGCATGGACCAATAACCGCTCGCCATTGTAATAATTATGATACTCGGCTGTAGATCCTCAAATCATCTCTGAATTGGTGCTGACACTGTCCTTCCTTCTGGAGGGTGGCTACTTTTGTTCTTCATGGTCCCTGTGTGTGCTGTAAAGTATCCACCGCTCCAAGCCAATCCAAACTTTTGAGTTTTTACTGGAACAGGAATAGAGAAGAAATCTTGTTCTGGTGCCAAATGTCTAAGATGGGACCAGGAGCATAACTACAAATCAGGAGGCTGCATAGCAAAACTTTGGGGCCCTCCGGCCAACTCTCTCTGTAGCGGCTGGCAATGTCAATACGTGTCATCGATCTTAACATGAAGTGTGTATCAAGGACAGGCAGGACAAGGACAATCAACAGGAGAGCTGTCAGCATAGTCTGTAGACTACTAGGCAACAGTGTTGGGTATAAAAGTAATAGCAGCACTAATTATAATAACCATAATGCTAGTTTATATTATAACATGAATAATGCTCTTGCACACATGTGCTCTACAACCCTAATATAAACTCTAGCTTCATTATAGAACCACAAACCTTTCAGGTGAAGCTCTGGGATTTGTCTGTAGCAGAAGTTCAGAGGGCAATACATCTACACTGCTAATATAGACAAGAAAATGCTTCTTACTGCACAGAGGGGGATCTGTGACTAGAAGATCCTGAGTGCGACATCAGCTCTGCTATACTGGAGTTTAGGTTTTTTTCTCCTAATCATCCCCCCTAATGGGGCCCCCCTCTGCCCCAGGCCCCATAACAGCCATGTGGGCAGTTACGGCTATTGTTACGCCACTGGATGGGACTTATCTCATTTTGGAGAGATTTTCTTTCATTTCCTGTAGCATCTGCAAGGTAGGAAGTGAAAGGAGCTCTCGCCTCACATCCTGTTGCGTTTGAGGGACAATAAGTGAAGGGAGATCACCTCAATGGGACACAGGCTGCAAAAATGAGTACACTGCCTGTACACAGACGCTAATATTTCATTGGACCTCCTTTAGCTTTGATTACAGCACACATTCGCCATGGCATCCTTTCTATAAGCTTCTGCAATGTCACAACATTCATTTCCTTCCAGAGTTCCATTCATTTTTCTTGTAGTGATGATGGGAGAGTCGGACTAATGCGTAAAATCTTCTCCAGCACATCCCAAAGATTGTCAATGGGGTTAAGGTCTCTGTGGTGGCCAATCCATGTGTGACAATAATGTCTCATGCTTCCTGAACCACTTTTGCATGACTACGTACAGAGGAAACGATCGATAAAGGACAACGTAAAAAGGAAACACTCATTGATGCATGAAAATGTACAAAAGAAACACTCATTGATACAGGACAACGCATAAAAGAAACACTTAATTGATACAGGACAACGCATAAAAGGAAACATTCATTGATACAGGACAACGCACAAAAAGGAAACGCTCATTGATACAGGACAACGCACAAAAAGGAAACGCTCATTGATACAGGACAATGTACAAAGGAAACGCTCATTGATACAGGGCAATGTACAAAGGAAATGCTCATTGATACAGGACAATGTACAAAAGGAAATGCTCATTGATACAGGACAATGTACAAAGGAAACGCTCATTGATACAGGACAACGTACAAAAGAAACGCTTATTGATACAGGACAACGTACAAAGGAAACGCTCATTGATACAGGACAACGTACAAAGGAAACGCTCATTGATACAAGACAACGTACAAAGGAAACGCTCATTGATACAGGACAACGTACAAAGGAAAGCTCATTGATACAGGACAACGTACAAAGGAAACGCTCATTGATACAGGACAACGTACAAAAGAAACGCTCATTGATACAGGACAACGTACAAAGGAAACGCTCATTGATACAGGACAACGTACAAAGGAAACGCTCATTGATAGATGGCAACGCACAAAGGAAACGCAGATTGATACACGACAATGCACAAAGTAAGTGCACACACATGCATAGAATTAAATGGGCCCATAAACTATAACTGAATTACATTTATTTTCACAAAGCACTGTGTATCATAAACTGCCCCACCAAAATACAGTTTTCACCATTTATTCACCTTTTGATGCATCTAAGTGCTGCTAATCTTCTCCAGCCACATCCTGTCTACATGCACCACACAAGTGTCCGCTGCACATCATTGTTGTAGACCAGCATCCTGATCCTGGCAGAACCTGTGCCATACATATCAGCACTGCCATTACTAGAGGTGCATGTGACAAGGTGACCACAGAGGAGCACAGCCAGTAGACAGTTGTATGGCAGGATCACCAGGTATTCTGTTAGCCCCAATTCACACTTGTGAAGTGCAACATGACACATTGCATTTCTCACACATAGGTCAGACTATTCATTTCAATAGACTGACCTACGCACACATCAAAGAAGCTCAGGCACATGTTTAAACTGCATGCGTTTCTTGCTCATTGGTCACATGTCTTTCATGACGCTTGTGGGATGCATGTTTCAAAAACGCACACAATGTTGCAGTGTGGGATGCAGACCTGTGTCTACTTCCCACATTACTGTGAATGATGGTGAAGAGAAGGATGTCAATTTAAAAAGACTGAAAACAAATGTTTGAAATGACATTACCGTGTCACAGCTTATATGATCCCAGTGATTGGGTTTCCACATACAGATTAGGACATCTATGGATTGCCATGTGTACAGGAACCACATGTCTCAGCATGCCCCCATCATATAGATTAAGAGGAGCTGGAAGTTACATGTGAGCCTACACTGTACAGTGGAATTAGGCATTATGCAGTACGGATCGATGATCGTAGCAGCAGAGGGCACAGCACACATACCTGTCAGGTGTACGATGCGATTGTCCTGTTATACGATCAACACTTCCATCTAAAAAAGCCAACAACACTACACTTCCCTGCTCCTCTCAGCTCCGCCCATTCTATCATTCCCAACCAACCACGACTCAGTTCACGAGCAGCCAGTCATCACGCTGGTCGCTAGCCCTGTATCCGAAGTCAGCTTCAGACAAGGGATGGGATTGGCGGAGAGCGGCGATGTGACAGTTGCAGGGGCGTGGTTTGGTGTTCTGTGGGTGAATGGAGGGAAAGCGGGAGGGAAAGTTGTAACTGCACTTCACGTGTTGTTTATATATCTCCGGCGGATGTGACTGCGGGGGACCTCTAGTTATATATAAAGCTTAAGGGGTCACATCCGGTAATCCTTATCATTTCCTGTGTCTGATTAGTGGGTTTATACTATCACCGGTGGGTTTACAACAAAGGATTCTGCGGTGAAGTAGCTGTGAGCTTATACTGAGCTGTAGCACCAAAGAACGTTAATGGGTGTGTTCAGTACGGGTCATATTAGATCTTTTTTTTACACACACACTCTCTCTCTCTCATTCCCCACACCCCCGCCCCCCATCTCTCTCTCTCCAATTTTTTTTAATACAGTGGTATAACACAATCAGCACCGCCCGTAAAATAGGGCAGCCTGAGGTGGTTTCCTCAGGTGGCGTCTCACAGGGAGGGGCTAGTGTGCCTGCTGCCCCCTTTTTGGCCAGAGCAGCGTCTCACAGGGAGGGGCTAGTGTTCCTGCTGCCCCCTTTTTGGCCAGAGCATCCCAGGTTGTTAAGAGCTCTTACCAGTAGCAACCTGTTACACTCTGTACAGCGTCCTGCCCAGTTCTCTGACATCACTGGTTGACAGGAGCTGAGCGAGAGCCCTTTACCACCACCCCTCCCCTTTCACAAAATCCCACTGGAAAGTGTGCACCACACACCCCCTTGTGAAGGGGGAACTCTCCCAAATAGTTAAATTAATTAGCCATTTAGGCGGCAAAGCTTCAAGAAGTAAATTTATTCCGCTGGACAGCCGGGAACATAGGCAACTCAGGCACGTTCAAATAGTATGTGCTCACAGGCCCCTTTTATAGGGTTTTGAACAGTAGAACCATCTGTGTTATCAGATAATAATGACACCTGTATTCATTTAATTGGGCCATAGTCATTGGATGGGCCTTCTTGTCTAGAGAAGACTCCCTCATATCAAGATCAAAGGACAGAACACACACAAGGGTGGAGTGGATTGTACAAGATGAAGGTTAAATAGTAAACGGGTGTTTGCATCATCACTCTGAGACAGGACTTTGTCAGTAGTTGCAGAATGATGATGTTTGCAGGTTTGGTCATAGGAGGGCGCCAAACAGGAACCACAGTGTCAAACATACTGCAAAACCGTCCATGCACAGCCAACTGAAGGAGGAATGGTAAGAAACCCTGACACTACTCTCCCCTCAACGACCCTTCCCCGCGGGAGAACAAAAGACTTGTGGGGGAAGCAAGCATGGAAGGCACGGGGGAGGGCAGGGCATGAACATCAGAGGAAGGAACCCAAAAACGCTCCTCCAGACCATAGCCTTTCCAGTAGACCAGGTACTGGACTTGACCCCTGACCCGACGAGAGTCGAGGCTGCTACGTATTTCATACTCCTCATGATTACCAACAGGAATAGGACAAGGAAGAGTGGTGGTGTAACATTTACACACTAGCGGCTTCAAGAGCAACTCATGAAAGATGTTGGAGATATGCATGCTAGAAGGTAGGTCAAGTGCGTAAGCAACCAGGTTAACCCTCTGGAGAATATGGAAAAGCCCAACAAAATGGGGTGCCAATTTCGGAATAGGCACTCTGATGTTGAGGTTACAGGCCGACAACCACACCCTCTCCCCGACCTCATAGGAAGGAGTGTGTAGATGCCCACGATCTGCCTGAAGCTTTTGGAGCTCTGAATCTGCACCCAAGAGGAATGGAGTGCCCAAAGATGATCCTCCAAATCCGAAATGTCCTTAGGCGCAAAAGATTTGGGTAACTCAAATGGCTGAAACCCGTAGTTAACCATGAACATGGACATTTGGGAGGACAAGTTGATAGCACTATTCCTAGCAAATCAGCCCAATTGTCATGATGGTCCAAGACATAGCAGCGGAGGAATTGCTCCAGGGCTTGGTTGGATCACTTAGCAGCGCCATTGGACTGCGGATGATAGGACGAGGTATACTGTGTAAGCGAAAGACCTCCCTGGCAAACACCAACGCAAGCTCCTGAGCCGTGGACAACTTCTTAGATGGTATGCAACGGCACATTTTGAAAAAACGGTCGACAACCATGAGGATAAAGGTATAACCACAAGACACAAAGTCAACACTAAAGTCTATGGCTAGGTGGGACCAAGCACTTTTTCCAATGGGAATACACTGTAGTAGGCCCACAGGAAGGTGCCGAAGCAATTTACTTTGGGCACAAATGAAACATGCAGCCACATAAGCAGTGACATCAGTGCAGAGAAATGGCCACCAGAATTGGCGAAAAATAGCCCAAGTCATCTGATTCTTAACAGGGTGACCTGCAGTCTTGGAGTTATAGTAAGTTTGCAACAGTTTAATGCATAAATTCTCAAGTACAAAACACTTATCGCATGGTTTCCAGGACAAGCCATAGTTTGGGTGGCCATAATCTGCTCTCACAGGGGAGAAGTTAAATTGGTGGGGATAGTTGCCAGTATATGATCTGGAGGAATAACCAGAATGTGCACGGAGTCTTCCCTGCACAACTCAGAATGCTGGCAAGACAGGGCATCAGCCCTAATTTTTTTTGAGCCGGGCAAATACGAGACCACATAATTGAACCAGGAAAGAAACATCCCATCTGGCTTGGCATGTGGAGAACCTCTTGGCCTCCGAGAGATAAGTTAAGTTCTTATCTTTTAGAATAAGAACAGGAACTGTAGTACCATCAAGCAGATGTCTCCACTCTTTGAGAGCCAAAATGGTGGCCAACAGTTCTCTGTTTCTGATCTTGTAATTACACTTCCCTGGAGATAACTTTTTGGAATAGAACCCCTAGAGGTGTATGGGACCATCTGGCATAGGGCCTTGGAACAGGAGGGTGGTGGTCTCAGATGCATTGACCTCCAGGATAAAAGTTAAGGAAGGTTTGGAATGAGACAGGATCGGAGCAGTGGCAAATGCGTACTTAAGGGCTTCAATGGGAGCAGGAGATCAGTTGTGTGGATCACTGCCTTTCTTAGGTCTGAGATAGGTTTCACTAGAGAAGAAGAATTTCTGATACATTTTCGATAATAGTTGGCAAAACAGACACTGAATGGAGCAGAGGCCAGTAGGACAAGGCCATTGTAAAACGGCCGACAACTTCTGTGGATCCATGGAGAACCTCTCTGAAGATAACATAGCCCAAAAAGGTGCCCTGGGGCTGGAGAAATTCACATTTCTTAAGCTTACAGAAAAGCCCATTCTCACATGCAAAACTCATTGCAAAACTCATCTAACGCAATTCAAAAGAGGAGGAGTTTGTTACAATATCGTCTAAATAGACTACAATGCACTTCTGTAGCATTTCAAAGAGAACATCATTAACGAACTCCTGAAAGACAGCGGGAGTGTTGCACAATCCAAAGGGCATTATTAGATACTCGTAATGCCCGTTCCTGGTGTTAAACGCTGTCTTCCACTTGTGGCCCTCCTTGATCCTCAAGAGATAATATGCACCCCTTAGATTGAGTTTCGTAAAAAACGTTTCTTGCTTGAGAAGGTCAATTAATTCCATGATTAAAGGAATAGGGTAGGCATTCTTGATTGTGATGCAATTGAGAACCCTGTAATCAATACAAGGTCTCGGCTCACCACCCTTCTTCTTTACAAAGAAAAAGCCATCTCCTGTTGAAGAAGTGGACCTGTGGATGAATCCCTGAGAAAGTGCATCCGCAATGTACTCCACCATGGCCTTATTCTCTGTAACAGAAAGAGGGTAAACCCTGCCATGAGGAGGGACTGCACCAGGCTGCAATTCAATAGCACAATCGTAGGGGTGATGTGGCAGACCAGTACCAGCACACACTTTATCAAAGACATTCTGACACATCCAAAGATGTACAAAGTAGCTTAACCGACCAATGGATGCACTTAGCATTACATTGTGGAGACCAAGAGACGATCTCAGTTGTTTGCCAATCGAAGGTCAGGTTATGTTTCTGGATCTCGGAACACAGACAGCAATAAAAACCTGACGTGTTCTAATCCCTCTCTGCTCTAGTCAAAACTAAAAAAAAATAAAAAATGGCTTCAGTGACATTTTAACCCCTTAATGACCAGTGACGTCCACAGTAGGTTATCGGGCCTGTTTAAGCAGACTCTTGCCGACAAAAGCCGCCGTGACTCTGTTTAAACTTGTAAAGGCGACTGTCGGCATTACAGTAGAAGCGATTCTGGCGGCTGTTCACTGATCACCGTCCCGTACTATGGGACCAGGAGTGATGCAGATTACATCACTTCCGGTCCCATAACTGTCAGTGCTGGGCTCCTGAAGCCCAGCTATAGTTACATAGTATTTGAGGTTTAATAAAGACATAAGTCCATCAAGTCCAAGCTATTGTGTGTGTGTGTGTTTTTATAGGCCCCTGAGCCCAGCTATAAGCTATTGAAGTGAGATCTGCACTTCAATAGCTTATTTTAGGTGTAAAGGTGATACTTTTGGACCCCCAGTATCATCTTAAAGAGTACCTGTCACTGTCAATATGCTATCACATGGGGGGCTTGTAAGCCCTATGTGATAGCAATTAAGGTAAAGTTTTTTTCTTTTTTTTAAACTGTTTTTAATATTAAATAAAATAAATGTAAAAATATTTTTTTTTAAACCCGCCCCTGCGAGCATGCGCATCTTCACGTAAACACGCGTCCGTGTGTCTATGCATGAAAAACGACGATCGGGCTACACATGTTGGGTATCGCCATGCACGCCGGAGTGAGAGCAATAATTCTAGGGGCAATATTTACGCAT